ACTAGAGACTGAGACCAGAAACTCATCAGGAAACTGTTTACTGCACAAAAAATAAATTCCAATGTTTTTTTAAATAAATTTAACACATTTCAAAATGACAGGAACATTTTATTACAAGAATAAACTATAAACTCTGTGGGAGTTTTTATTGCCTTTGTTTTGACAGAGCAGCTGAAGGGGATAACATGCATTAATATAAGTCTTTTATGTATGAATGATCGTTAAAAAATATGAAAATACATTATACAGACAGATAATTGTATAAAAAGTGAAGTGAGTTAAGGTTGGGAACCACTGCAGTAGAACAATGGACAAGTGTCAGGGACAAGAAAACACAGAATTTATCAAAAAAAGAAACTTATTAAAGTCTGTATGATTGTTGAATGATATAAATACATAAATACAGACAGACCTGCAGTTACTGAGTTCACTGTTTGGGTTCATTGTACAGTTTTAATATAATATGAAATGTTAAAAATGAAAATAAAAATAAAATATGTCACTGGGTCAGTTTAATAAATGACAGAAAAGGGTCCCTGAAGGAAAAGCAGTGTAATGAATAAATACTAATAACGAGAGAACTGGACTCATGTTGAAGATGTTTCCGGCGTGAAGCACCTTGCAGCAGTTTGTGCAGATATTTTCAGCCCCGGTGGGACTCAAACCCTCGACCTCAGCAGCCAGAGTTCCTTGCTCTGCCCCGTCGGAGCTGCCCGGGACACTCGATCCCGGTCACATCGGAGGGTTTAAATGGGTTTAAATGAGGGCTCAGGGGAGCGGTGAGGAAGAGGAGGAGGAGGGAAGAGATGAATGGCTGCCGTTGGGAACTGCAGAGAGGCATTCTGGGAACTGGTCATGCTGAGGCCTTCCTTATGGCTCTCTATGAGAAATGGAGAGAGTGTGACAGGAGCCAAATGGAGCTGACAGCCAACTGGTTCGACTTCCTCCACACACTCACTTTCATTCTCCGGGGGTTTTTTTCTCTCTTCCATAATTTTGTTTTGGAAAAACATGAGCTCGTGTTTCGCCTCTCTGAGAGCCACCAGCGCTCTCCAACTTTCATGTGTCCGTCCTGCCCCGACCCTCCGCTACTTAAAGACCTTTGTTTGGGGCTGGTGGGTGGTGGGGGGCAGATTTTGGCAGGCGGGCAGGTGCTGATAGGGATAAACTCCATAACGCAGAGTTGAACCGTGAGCCAAGAGGCTAATGGCAGCCTGAAAAAACTAAAAAATGCCAGAGTGTGTTTGAGCGGCGTCGGTTCTGGTGAGTCTGCCAGTGGAAAATATCCTCTGTTGTGGACGCTGTTGTTCTTCAGAAGGCTGATGAGCTCATGTGGGAGGGAAGTGTTCCTCTCTGGACAGCAGGTTAAAACCAGAATAATGTAAAGCGTTACAGTCCCTGAGGGTCAGATCAGCTTTCACTGCAACAAACATCCTCATAGAGCCGCGGTGATTAAAGTGCACAAATATGACTATGTTTGGGTCAAAATATGTAAATTAGTAAATTAAATGTGGTTTACACTTTCCCAAAAACTGAAGAAACTCCCTCAAACAGTGACCTGTGGTGACCTTTGTGACTTCTGCTGAACAGCGCCCCCTGTGGCCACAAGTTGTAATAACAGTAACCAGTGAAACATTAAAAAGTATTGGTCACTAGAAAACTTTCAAAGTCATCAGATCACTGTAATGTTCACACTAATTCTACTTAATCTGGAGCCTTAAAGTCGTTCTTTCACAACCAGTCTGACTCTGTTTCATCAGGAGTCTTTAAATAACACCATTAATAACAAACACATCATGTTTAATTAGAAAGGCAGTTTAAAAACACACACAAAAGCCATTTACAGCATACTGCTTAGTGAGTACAATCAGCTGGTAATGATCCTGATCAGCCAGCGTCAGAAATCTATACACACATGAATAAATCATTAATCAAACTATTAACTAACAGCAGTCAATGTCAGA